TCCCTTCTTGTTTTGAAAATCCAAACGGGGGACTTTTGAAACCCTTTTTTTTTTTTCAAAATTTTTTTTTTTTTTTTTTTTTTTTTTTTTTTTTGTGCTCTGATGCCCTGGTTCGCTGCTCTAAACGTCACTCTAAAACAACTTGCAGCAATTTCCGTGCCTGCCTTTTGGTAACCTTTTCTCTTTGTGTATTTCTCTATTTTGGATATGGAAATGAAGGTAGCTATCATGAGCTACATGCCTGAGCACATCAGAAAATAAAAAAAAAAGTTGTAAAAGTGATGATTTATGCCCTTTTAAATGACATTTCTATAATGGTGACCTTTCCAGAAGACTGTCCCCGTTTGCCTGCAAATGATACAGTTAACTGAAAATGAACCCATTTGAGCTGACATGAAGATTCCCGAACAGAACGAAACGTACATCCTTATTTAGGCAAACACATGTGACGATTTAAAGCCGGTATATTTATTTATAAAGCCAAATATTTTTACAGTCATGCTTCCTTAAGATTAGCTTTCCCCCTGTGGAAAAAATTGACTTTTTCCCAGGTGTGCTGAATGACGGCATGGAGTATGAATAAGTCATAGGCGAAAGTCAAGCTTCCGGGCCCCAATGGCTGTCGCCCCTGCTGTGTAGTGTGTGAATATGTGTGTGGTGGTTCATCTAATGTCATGATTAATGTCCTTTGGGCTTCCTGTTGCAGAGAGAATTTTCTGATTTATGGTCGTGCCGCCGCCTGCGACGGCGAGGACATGCACACAAACTCACACTCATGCTTACTCCTATTTTGGTAACATCTCCTTTGACAAAATCTGCATTTGGGAAAGTAAAGTAAAATGTACTAAAAGTGACTGGCAGGAGTTAAGCACCGGAACTTTAATCAAAGGACATGCATTTTGTATGAGGGTTTGCAGGTGGCTTTACATAGTTTCAGAGCTGGTGATTAATAATTAATTGCATAAGTGATGGACTCAGCTGGATCATTATTGGCATGAAATATTAATCAAATCTGTCTGGCTCATGTCTGATTTGTATGAAGCTGAAATTATTGTCTGGTGATCAACCTGTTCAAGGCACCCAAAACTGTGAGGACCAAGAGAAGAATGCAGATTATGCCTATAAAAGAGTCCTGGTGGCTGATGAATTTTGCTTTCTCACATCATTTATAAAATAATTTTGTAAAATGTATGAAACCAGACATCAGATTGAAGTATTTTTTTTATCACTTAATCTCATAATTACAGTGGAAAATGTTTCTACCAATTTTGAAACAAATTAAAATATCTCATCACAGCCGTCTCACAACTGAAGATGTTTTTTTTTTTTTTTTTTCCATTTGAACTTGCAATCTCAATAAAACAAGTTCACATTGAAAGTCTGTAGGCATAATAACTTGGAACTAATTTAATATATATATATATATATATATATATATATATATATAATTAAGCAACTTTTTGCTGTTCTGCTGATGAGGAACCTTAGTTTGGATACACAACTTGACCATGTGCAACTTTTTGTTTTATTGCAGATTCAAGAGGCAAAAAGAAGTTGTGACAATACCTTTGGTTCTTTAAGGACATTTTGAAGTGATGTGGAGAAAAGCAGAGTAAGGTAGGTTAGGTTGTTAAATCTTTAGAATTTTTTTTTTTCTTTCCCAGGTTTGTTGTTGGGTAGTGTGGCCATGACAAGTTTTCCGGCAGCTAAATATTTTCAAAGAAAGCTTAATTGAAGAGGAAAAGATATTGTACGTTGTGTAGACAAAACTCTGAGACGGTTCTCATGCAGTATTTAGATAGTGATGCCAACAGGCAGTTATGCTGTCAAACTGAGGAGCATCTCAGGAAACACAGCTTCTTAAAGTCACTGACATTTGCTTCAAACATGCTGGGGCGCTCTACGTGTCTTGCTTTCCGATCCATCTTGAACTGTCCCCTCAGGCGAAGCCAACACCTTGTTTCCATTCTCCTATCATCGGCGCAGATAAATACCACCAGGAACAAACGGAAAGACCCAGTTTTCCAACTCTGGTATAAACAGAACGCAGATTTTCAATCTATAAAAAAAAATCCTCACAGCACTTCCCAAGAAAACAAGGGAATCTAAACCTGTGCAAAACACGGAATATAAATAGTTGTACATCTGTAAGAAGTAGCGCAGAAATCCATAGCAACAGTTTGTGAATATAAGACTGCAGTCTAGCAACAAGGGGAATCACTTTCCCATAACTGCTTACTTAGTTAGTCCAACCAGAACACATTGACCCAATCCAGCTTGTAGGACATCTATTGAATCTTTGCTCCAGCTAATCAAAGAGAAAATTAAAGCTGTCAGTACAGTGTGCACTGAGGGGAACCGATAACTGGCACACTGAGCTGCACAGAATTTATTCAGGCCATAGTGTGTGAGCAGGTGCTGCACTTGGAAAGACAGTATCATTCTTCAAATGTGGAACTTGTGGAAAAACTTCAACCTTTAATTTGTGTTTTCAACCCCTTTAAATGCATGTATTGATTGTTTAGACCGTCTTCTGTTGTCCTCAACAAGCACAAGTTCTTTAATTGGTTAGTCTTTGTTTCACTGCAAGTTTGGAAAAACATCCAAATTTCACAATACTTGGTTTGTGGTGTGCAGCGATGCTAATGCAAGTTAACAGAAGTCACTATTTTAACTACAATGACCAAATTCTGCAGTCATTCAAATTACAACATCAATCACTCAATTTAACTGCTTTATAAAGTATCATTTAGTAAACAACTTCCATCTCAAAGTCATCGCTGAAATTGATGCTTCTTGGACCCGGCAATGTTTTTCTGATTTGTTATTGTCCAGTTTTGGGGACTGTATTGTGTTCCTAGTTAGCAGGATTGGCTAACCATCCAATAAGTGTGGTTTTCTGTTGCTGTAGCCCATCTACCTCAATATTCAACACAATGTGCATTCAGATATTGTTTTACACATGCGTCAGTTGTATCGTAACTGTTTATTTAAGCTGCTTTTTTTTTCATCTATATGAACAAGACTTCCTTTTTTGTCAACACACCTGCTGCTCACAGAATGTTTTCTCTTCCTTTGGAGGCTGAGAAATTCTTGTGCACTGAAAATCAGAAGTTTCCAAAGTATTCAATCTAGGTCGTCTGCTACATTCAAAGTTTACTTGCATCCTGTTACTGGGTTTGAACTTTTGAAAGTCATCTTCACCACATGAAGAACCCTAACGGCATTCTGCTGTCGCGATCGGCTGATTTGGCTAATTGTGTTAACAAGCAATTGAACGGGCGCGCATCAAGTGTTGGGTGAGTACATTTGCATTTTCGCCTCCATTGTCTTTCAGTGTCAGTCTCAGCTGCAAGCTCCCATGGATGTGGCTCCACTTGTAGAAATATTCTAACACTTTAAACTCTCGTTGGACCCTTCTAATGTTCTGTAGTGGCTTGCACAAAAGGACAATATGTCGAGTGAAGCAGATTCCCAGCACAGCTGAAGAACAGCTTTGCAAAAGCTGTGTGGTTGGCAGAGATGGAACTGAACAGAGCACTTGACTAGTTCACAGCCCATCTTATCACTGAGTGTCTTTGGCTCTCTAAGGCTTTGTCATAGCGCAGATTAACATTCAAGTCCCATGTTTGGTCACCCGAAGAACAAACCAGTCCATTCATATTTCCCAACAACCCCCCGGGTGGATAAAAGGAGACCACTGCAAATACATTGCCGCAAATTCTATTTGTGCTGCCACCCACTTCTCTCCAAATTCGGCCCTACGCCTTTTTTTTTTCCTCCATTCAAACTCGCTTTTTTCGGTTTCGGTATAAGGGAAGGAAGTGGCTGGAAGCCAGTGTTCTGCTGCTGGGGAGCTGAAACATGAATGCCAAGATGGATGGGATTTTATAGCTGGAATGTTGGGGGGGTGGGTTGGCCGGGCATGAAAAAGATTTGACACACTGGCACTCAGTGATGCCAAGGCCCCAATGCTCGACACCCTGCTGAGCAGCAAATATAGCTGAGAGGGTGTTATAACTGGAAGTAATTTCAGCAGATCAGAGAGGGAAGAAAAATATTAAGCTTTTAAAAACATCAAACATGCAATAAAAAATATCTGGATTGTCTTTCCAATTGCATTTTAGCTAAAAATGATTTCTCATTTGTACAAAACGTAGTGAAGAGAGTTAAAGAGATTTACGCGCTCCACTCAATTTTCCTCCGACACCATCCGCTTAGAAGTTAATACATACTGCTGGTTTGTCACACTGCTTGTTTTTAGCTCGGCACCCATAGCTCCAGGTATTCCCAGTGTCACCTCCTGCTTCTTTCAACCAACACTTTCCCTCCCACACATGTCAGAGCTGATAAGAGAGTGAGGTTCATAGTATAGAAAATATGAACCTGGAGCGCTATAAGCAGCCATTTCTGAGACCGTGATGGCTGCCTGGAGCTGTTGATGCAGTACAACCGAGTGATGAACAGCCAGCCCAAGTAATGAGCAACCTAGGCCGCTGCATAGGTGCCTAAAATCATCAGGGGCTCCATTTATGTTAGGAAGACTATAATGTATTTTTGTCTGGGTAGAATATTTTGTTGTGAAATAAATAAACATTCTATAATCTCCTCATATGCTGAAGTAAAGATAAATTGATTTGGTACATCAACAGGTGAAACTAATATATTCAATCCAGCAGATGGCCGTTATCAGTGGGTGACATTTTCAAGCCTTGACTTCTCCCGAATTTATCACCATCGGATTTAAAAAGTGTGTCAAACTCTGCTTTGAAAACTCTAGTCTTTAAAACACAGCCCGACTTTGTATCACCTAAAGAATTTTAAAAAATTGAACTTTGCGTTTGAATCAAAGTAGCGTGATACAAATCTCATTTACAATAAATAAAACATCGACTGTCGAGTTGAAAAACGAGTGAAGAAAACGCGCCGCTAACCAACAGCATGAATGCATTTAATTAATCTTGCTGTACAGATCTGCTCTGCTACTCAGAGAAACGCAATACTTTCTGCACCACCAACTAAATGCATTCCAGTTCATTATTCAATACTTAGCTCTGTGTGTGTTTCTGTGCTGGTGACAAATTAAGCCCACATAGATTTGCTGCAGCTATGTTGCCAGATTGCAAACATGTGCACATCGATAAAGGAAAACGCTTATATTGTCTTCTAAACTTGAAACAATCTTAGTGAAAACCTTAGCAAAGTTGTCCATAATTCATAGGAGCACATATACCGTGTTTGTATTATTTATTTGCCATGTCATGTGCATTTTACTGCTTTACAGTGAAGAATGAGGGAGTATTTAAATTCTCATTGAGTTTTAGGTACACCAGAAGGGAGCAATTCATCATGTGGAGGGATTTACTTTTTTTAAAATGTTTTTGAAGGATTGGTGAATAAATTGTGTTTGGATGCAGCAATGGAAACTGTCCATTAATCATCGTCCCTTTCTTCTATATAAGTTTTCAAGAGTTGGTCTATTGACTTAAACAGCCGTTTAATTGTCCAAAGTCTTGTTTATGTAGCTGAAAATTATTTCTGTTACTTTTTCAGGAGACTTTTTTTTGGTATGTATTCGGAGAGACCCAAATATTTATGAATTATTGCCTCAAACTGAGAAAACATCTGTCTATTAAGGTCAAAATAGCAATAAATGTTAATTAAAAATAAATGCATTTGTTATTTAAGCAATAACAAAAATAAGAGTCTCCACTCTTGCGTGGTTCCCTCTGCATCTGACTTGAACTTAAAAAACCCCGTATACACTACACTCTAAATTTGCAGATGATGGCAACAACAAAGATTAAAAGGGGTCTGTGCTGTCCAATCAAGCAGCTTAGCCATTTTTATGAACATAAAACAAAACAAATAATGTTTTGAAGTAAACAGAAACTTAATTGGTTTTGTGTTTTTTCTTTCAGAAAAATATCTATAGAATGTATAGGGTAACAATATTTTTATTATATAACAAGCCGATATCAGACTGTATTTCTATATTGAAGGGTTTTTTTTAATGTATAGTGCAGCATCAATTAAAAACATGAATTATACAGCTAATGATGGCCAAGTAGCTCAAGTTCACACCCAAAGACAAAAGCAGCTCTGGAACAATGATGGCTACACACACACGCACACACACACGTGCATTCGACTGCCAAGCTGAGACCGCATGGAGTAATTAACCCCTGAATTTCCCATCATCCATTTGTGACCAACTCCACCCTTCAGATGTTTGACATCCCATCTTAATGTGCCACAAAGGGGAAGAAAAACCTCTAAACCTACAGCCTATTGAGGATTTTATTTTATTTTTTTCCCCCCAGTAAATGTGAATTAGGCAACAAAGGAGGCACTTACATTGAAGAGCCTCACATGGTCCTCCGGGAGATAAAAGAACCGGGCAGTCACTCCACTCTCAGAAAACAATAGAGACATTGAAGAAAGAGCAGGAGAGCCGGGGAAAGTGAGGGGGCGAGAAAAACGGCAAGTTGGAGACTTTGGTTGAAAAAAAACAACAACATGAGAGCAATAGGAAGCAAGTTTATCCATCCACAGACACAGCATACAAATCAAAGCACTCTGGTTCTTTTCCTCCTCCTTCTGTTCAGCTTTGTCCC